GATCAAGTTCAACTATGGCGTGTGTCTTACGAGTCTTGCTGTAGATGTAAGTCAATTTTCAGGGTATACCATGGTAGCAGTGCATAAGCCCGTCGCCAAGAACTCTAAAAGCGCTAAAGGAGCCAAGAAGGCTCTTCGTAAGAAGAAGGTCCATCTCAAGTTCAACATCGAATGCAAGAATCCTGCTGAAGATGGCATTTTCAAGACTGAAGACTTCGTAAGTTATTGGTGCAATCACCTCCATGAAGTCGACAGGGTTTCCGTCCCTGTCGCAATATTGGGCTTAGGGTGTTCACGGTCCCTAGTAAGTCCCAATGAAATTTTAGGAGACTTTCCTCAATGAGAAGATAAAGATAAACGGAAAGACTGGTCAGCTTGCTAATCATGGAGTGAAAGTAGAGTTGAACAAGACCAAAGTTTCAGTTATTGCTGACATTCCCTTTTCTAAGCGGTAAGGTAGCATTTTTTGTTTGTAAGGATGGGCACTTATTCCTTATTTGCAGGTATCTCAAGTACCTGACCAAGAAGTACCTCAAGAAGCACACTCTTCGAGACTGGCTCCGTATCGTGGCAATCAACAAGAACACCTACGAATTAAGGTACTTCCACATCAACCAGGATGAGGATGAGGGTAGTGATAATGAGTAAATGTTGTTATTCAATAAATTGTTATTGTTTTCTTTGTTTGTTAAACGGAAGTCACATTAAAGGAGTTCAAAGTCTTATGACATTATGTGTTACTGTCTAAAGAAAGCATAGAATTCTACAGGGCTGAATTTTCATACGATAGAGAGCACCGAGAATTTAGAAATCATTGAGGTTAACGTTGATGGGTGCGCGGACATGTTTAGTTCGCACACGACTGGCAGGGTATAGCTCTGAAGCGATTATTTGCCGTGGAAGTGAAAGCTTGAGATGATTTGTGTGAAAGCATTGTTTGAGTGGGTGTAATTGTGCGCTGCTATCTTGGGCAGGTGCCAGACTTCGATTCATTGGGATCACCAGTTCGTTACTGCTCATTTCGATGATCTGGGCAGTAGCGAATGGGGCGAACCGGTTGAAAAGGATGTCTGGCGCCTGCCTGATCTTCAAATCAACTTATACACTGACTTCTGTGATTTTTTTTTGCGTAAACCTTCTATGAGAATCAAAACGTGCTTGAACTGCTCATCAGTTTTTATCTTTTGATCCAAACCGGCAGCACAGATATGTTAAACTCCCCAAATATGTATCAGGCAATGTTGCGCCGTGGATAAGGCGGTAAATCAGCCATGTTTTTGCACGCTTAGAAAGTCGTCAGCATCTTGGTAAGGGTCGAGTCACCTGATTCTGTAGCTTCATGAGGAGGACAAGTACTATACTAATTTTAGCTGAGCATAGGTCAGATCATACGCCAATGGTTGCACCTGTAGTTTGTGCGTGAAAGTCACCAAGAGTACTGCTTCCTTTGCTAGACCTGCAATGACCTTTGACTCTAGTAGACATGCAGTGAATTGCCGAACATTTGTAGGAAAAGGCTTATATGCCTCTTAAAGGCAGCGTCCGGGCAGTTATGAAATTCTAGCGTACAGGAGCTCCCGCCCTGATAATG